CGCTGGGGGAGGGTGATTCTCGCCCCGGGCCGGACGGAGCAGGACATCGCGAGATCTCAGCAGGCCGCTCGGAAGGACAGGCGATGTGTGACTTCTAGATGGTCCATGTCTGGAATTTTTAGAAACAATTTTGGACCGCTGGCAACGGTGGGTAACTGAGACCGAGGACGGTGGGGCTGCGGATGAGGGGACTGTCGCCCAGGTTTGTCCGGGCAGCTGGCGTGTGCGGCTGCCGGTTGTGGCTGCCTGTGCTCCGGCGCTTTGCGGTGTGGCCGTCGGTCGGACCTCACGCGGCTGCTATAGAAGTTCCCGCCGCCGCGCTCTTCCAGTTCGCATTCTTTGTTCAAAGACTTAATGATCTGCGTTAAGAGGAAGCGCGCGAAACCGAGTCCGTTCAGCTCTCCGTTGTTGCTGCATCAGGGGGACCCGCTCCCCTCTCTACGGCAGAACCCTGAGCGCGGCCGGCAAAGGCCCCAGGCCGCGGGGCGCAGCCCGCTGTGCCGGCCAGAGCGCAGCCCTGTTGGAGCTCGTGGAGGGAGGCCACGCGGCTCGTTAACCCACGCGACTTAGGTAACAGCTCAGGACAACGAGAAAGGGGGGAAGTCACTGTTTCGCCCCTCTCCACCCTGGAAAGGAGGTTGCCAGGCGAGGCCCTCCTGGCCGTGGAGCCTCCGACTCCTGAGGTCCGCAGCGAGCCAGCAAGCGGGGAAGGTGTGCGGAGCGCACACGCGCCGGCCTCGCGGAGGGCAGCGCGAGGGGCAGGGGCGTGCAGACTGGAACCTTGTGCCCAACGACCGGAGGTCCACCGGGGTGGGCGCCGGGCCCCCAGGACGCGGCTGGGGGCTCCCTGCTGCTGGGCGTCTCTCTGAGGGACCGTGGGACCGCGACGTCGCCTCTTCTCCTGGCGATGGTGGGCTTGGGTGGTTAGCACGTGGTCTCACGGGTTTCTAAGCTCAGAAAATGGTCACTGCTTTCTAACCAAGGACAGTGAGAAAGGCCATTTGGAAGGGGCGGGAACAGGACTGCACCCAGAAGGCTGGTTGGAGGCGGGGTCGGCGGTGACTCTGAGCTTGTGGGGGACGGGGTCGGGTCCCCTCTCGGGGGGCGGGGGGCGCAGAGCCACTGCGGGGCTGTGTGACCGGCTCGCTAGGGGCGGCCGGCGGCCCGGACTCCAAGTCTCCGGTCTCCACCAAGACAAAGCATCGCTATGCTGAAAAGCTCTTTTATTAAAATTATTATTTTATTAAAATTTTAAGTATATATATAGTGTGTGTGTGTGAAATTCCGGATTTGTATTTGATTGGGGTGAGAGTTCATAGATTAAGTTAAATTTCCTTATCCTGATGGTCTTCTCATTGTTGATATTACAAGTTTTTAAAAATGATTTTAAAGATTTTATTCACTTATTTTTAGAGAGGGAATGGAGGGAGAAAGAGAGAGAGAGAAACATCAATGTGCAGTTGCTGGGGGTCATGGCCTGCAACCCAGGCACATGCCCTGACTGGGAATCGAACCTGCGACACTTTGGTTCACAGCTGGCGCTCAATCCACTGAGCTGCGCCAGCCAGGGCTGATAATACAGTTTTTAATGTTATGCATACAGAGCATTAATAGTTAAAATTTTCCTTACCCCATAATCCATTTCCCCCTAGTTTTTTGACGGTTAAACATTATGTTAGCATTTTGAGATACTTCACAGTTTATTATGGAATATATTTATTTGTTGGAAGACATTTAATTGTAACAGTCTTTCAAAAATTATTTTATATTTGGTATTTCCTACAAGGAAAATTTTAAAATCTTAGAGTAAAACCATACCTTTCCTTGTGGAAAATAAATCCCCACCAGATGATGTTTTAAAAATTAAAACTAGATTGTCTTCTTTTTAAACATTGCAAAACTTTCGTAGTTTATTTCAAAGTGTAGCAAAAGTATTTTGAAAAGAGACGGCACTGGGTAATTTTTCAAAACTGTTACTAATGGGAGGGCAAAAATGTTTTGTTTTTGCTAAAACGCAAAGAATTCGGGCCTTAAGTGGGCTCTCTGAGAGCAGCACAGCGTTTTCGGAATAAACAAGGCTTATCAGTCCCTCTCCGGGCGGGCGGGCGCCTGAGGTCCCGGAGTCTGCAACCGGCGCCGCCGCGCGTGGGGGCGGGGCCGCGGGGCGGGGCCGCGGGGCGGGCCAGGGCGCTGGCTGCGGGGGCGCCGGCGCAGGCTGCGCAGCGGCGCGGATGACAGCCAGAGAGCCGCTGGGTTGGGACGCAGGAGGGACGCGGTAGGTCTGCCCGCGAGAAGTGGGCCTGAGAAGTTACTCCTGGCTTTTCTTTTCGGTGGTTTTCGGATAGTTCGTATTCCCGTTTGTGAGTCTTCACTTACAGGCATTGCTTTCATTAGAAATAATGTGCATTTTAATAATTTATAGCAACGATAATTTACACTAATCTATGCTAATTTACATTAACTATGTTATTTATAATAAACTGTAGGAGAAAGTTACATAAAATGAGATGAGCGAGGACACAAAAAACAGAATCTCACCTGCTCAGAAATAGCCAGTGTCCCTGTCCTGAGCTAGTTTCTCCTTGAAAGTTTCTGCAGGACAGAGGATGGTACTTTTAGATACTCAGAAACCTCACGAAATTATTAACAAGCCGAGACCACCAATAAAGAAAAAGTTGCGTCCGGGGTTATCCAGTTTCGACCACATCAACCTTTCTTGTCCAAGCGCGTGGTGTCCGTCGGGTCACCCCCCCACTCTCGGAGGGCGGCGGGGACGGAGGCGGCTTCCCCGGACACTTCCGCTTTAACTGCCCGCGTTAGCGAGAGGCGGCACCTGGTCTCCGTTTTCCGAACGACTGTCCCTGTTCCGAAGCCTAGGGATTGGTGGAGACACATTTATCAGAAGATTTGCCTCAGAAGGATTTTTGTGTTTTTCCCTCTGTGTAAGTGTGCATGAATCATCTCATTTTTCCGTGACCTGTGCCCCTGACCTGTTCCCATGGACAAGAAGCACAGCGAGTGCGGCTTCCTCTGACGCCGCACAGGCGAGAGGCCGGCGAGCTCACGCGGCAGACGCAGGTCTGGGGGGGCCGTCCTTGGGCAGGGGCGTTGGCAAGAGGAGAGTCAGGAATAATGAGAGATTTAAAATGTGAACAATAGATGGGTATTTTATTATTTTTTAAGATTTGTATTTATTATTTTTAGAGAGAAGGGGAGCGAGAGGGGGAAACATCGACGTGTGGTCGCCTCTCCCGGTGCCGCCCCCTGCTGGGGACCTGGCCTGCAGCCCAGGCGGGTGCCCTGACTGGGAACTGAACCCGAGACCCTCGGGCTCACAGGCCGGCGCTCAGTGCCCTGAGCGCCCCCCCCCAGCCGGGGCTGGGAAGGGTATTGCAAAGCAAGGACGCTGCGTGAAAGTAAAACACGCAGGGAGAACGTGCAGTGGATACACTCTTCTCCCTCCTAAGGTGATCGAGTTTCAATTACTGTAATTTTAGTTTCCAAATCCTACTAGTGTTTCTGGAGTCCCTTTCCTGCCTCCCAGGCCTGGCCCCGGAGGCCCTGAGCCCACACCCGTGTCACCTGAGCAGGGAGGCCGCCTGCCTCCAGGCCGGGCAGGAAGGAGTGGGGCGGGAGGTCCAGCGTGGAGGGCTGGCAGGGGCAGACTTGGCCTTGGCTGCGGCTGTGGGTGTGAGAGAACATGCAAATCGGAGATAACGATGGTGCAAGCAGGACAGAGCAGAGCAACGGTCAGCCCCCGGGCCGCGCTCGGAGCGGGTCTGGAGGGGGCAGACCTGACTCGGGGGCCTGAGGTCAAGGGCACCGCATGTCCTTGCTGGCCCAGCCGGAGCTGTGCCCTCGCAGCCGCCCACGGGGAGTTGGGAGGCGGCTGCCCCAGAGCGTAGGCAGGGGCGGGGCGAGCCGGGGCTGTCAAGGTCCTGCGCCTCGTCAGGCAGCTCTGACTGGGCAGTTGTGGCCCTGCTGTGTCCCGAGAACTGGGGAGCAAGCAGGCACGCCCTTGGGGGCCTGCAGGACCATCCTCCCTGCTCGGTACAGGCTGCCGTCCGTCCTCGTGGGCGCTGCCTTTGCTGGGTCACCCTGCGGCCCGTTTGCCAGGAGGGGGTCTTCTGAGGTAACTATGTACTAGCACCCCCACTTTACAGACGGAGAAACTGAGCCCGGTGAGGTTCGGTTAGCCAGAGAGAGAGTGCGTGTGTGTGGTAGCGCACACTGGCTTTATCCGCAGGAATCTCTTTAACATAACTGTGCGACGCCACTGGTGTTCACTGAGTGATTGCTTCAGAGCTCCGCCTTGCTCAAAGGAGGGTTTGCCATTGTTTTGCGACTGATTCCTCGCAGCCGAAATGGGCCTCCGCACCTCCGCAGTGTTTCGTGTCACTCAGGGCCACTCTGTCTGTCGGTGGGAAGTCTTTGGGGGTGTATTTATGTAGCAGGTCGGGGGAGCTCCTTTCGGGCAAACTTTATACGCGGGGCAACTTGGAATGCTGAGCCAGCCACCGCGGATCCCCACCCGGCCTTCCCGTCCGCCAGCCCAGGGACTCGCGTGGGCGGAGCGTGCTCCCAGAGTGGTTTCCCGCAGGAGACACCGAGCCCCGGGGTGGGCGCGCCCCGGCCCTGCAGCCCCCGGCCGGAGCCCCGAGTCGGACGTGGCCGGAAGATCAATCGCGGAGCTGCCCTCTGCTTTCTGCTGATGAAACCCCGGCGCCTCATTTGGGTCGCATCTGGGCGTGCGGGGCAGAGTGTGAACTCATCACCTGGACGGGGCTGCGGTGACGTGGCGAGCCCGGGCGCTGCCCGCTGCGGAAGCGGGCTCGGCCAGTCCCCACTGGCGGGCTCGGTTACTCGCTCGGGACAGCCAGGCGCCGCCGCGCCGTCCCTGGCCCGGTGACAAGGGACTGCCCGCCTCCGCGGTTCTCACTTCTCCGCCCATCCCGGACCTGGGCTCCGGCCCGCGAGGGTCGGCCCCGCCCACTCTGGCCCGGGTCGAGCCTCCGGGAGCGGAGCGGAGCGCGGCACGGCGCTCGGCGCGGCCCCTTTAAGGAGCGGCGCTGCAGTAACCCGAGCCCGCAGTCCCGGCGGGTGGCGGCGGCAGCTGCACTCGGGACGGCTCCCGCCTGCCGAGCATCCCGCGGCCGCGGTGGCCGGCGCCAGCCCTCTGCCGGGCGGGAGCGCCGGGGGCCCGGAACCGGCCGCGCGCAGCCGCCGCGCGCAAGCGAGGGGCTCCGGACAGGGCGCAGGTGACGCGGTCTGCAGGGCCCGGGTTGGGGCGCGGGGGAGAGGGCGGCCGCGCGGGGCTCGTGGCTCCAGCAGGTGCGTGCGGCCGCGCAGCATCCCGGCCCGCGGGCGGCGCAGGCGGGGTCCCGGCCCACCGCCCCCCGTCTCCCGGCGTCCGGCCCCCGCTGCCCGGGGCTGTCTGGATGCCCCCGGGTCTCAGATGCAGGGGAGAGCCGTGCCGGAGCCGGAGCCGGCACGCGGGCGCATCAAGTGGGGAAGTGCCCCATCCCGGCCCCTGCATGGAACAAGGAGCTGCTGTTCACGCTCCTCCCGAGGGCCCTGCTTTTAGCCTCCGGGTCGGAAGGGCCTCCTGCAGCGGGCCTGGGAGCAGAGTCGGGGCAGGCTCGGGGTCTGCCGCTTCGCTGCCGCTGCGCCGGGGCAGGCTGGCTAAGCTGAGTGCCCGCCTCGGTTTGCCCAGCCGTGAAATGGGACCCCGAGCGCCAGCCTTTCCCCGCCGCCACAGAGCTGCTGTCCGAGTGCAGGAAAGGGGGCGCTTTGCTGGCCAGTGTGTGTTGGTTGTTCCCTGCGGAGCGTCGGTGCCCCGAGCACTGCCACCTGACGGGGTTTGAGTGAGCCCGTCCCCGTGGGGGACGGGACGGAAAAGTTTGGGTGGGCTTTAGGAGTCGATGTGCGAAGTAGGGGAGTGCTGTCACTTCAGTGGGCTCTCCCCTCGGCCACACGCACGCGGCGGGGGGGAGGGAGGGTCTTGGACTGCGGGCGTGAGTGGCCCAGGGCTGCGGGCACGCGGGTGGGTGGGCCAGAGCAGGCTCCCTCCTCCGGGAGCTGCTCCAGGTGCTGGGGAGGGAGCTCCGTGTGAAGTAGAGACTTCTTTCCCCCTCGTTTGTCTTTTCCTAAAATTGTGTGGGTGAAGTCAGGTGAGAAATGTGTATTTCTGCCGCGCTGGAAAATTGGAGGCGGTGCCTGGAGCAGCCTTGGGTTTGGGGGGTTTGCCCTCGGGGCGTCCAGAGGGTGCTCTGCGTTGGGGGTGCTTCGCTGCACCCCCTGCAACCCCTTTGCTGCCTCGCCTGCCCCCGGAGTTTGCGTCTGCGCTGTGTGAGCCGGCCCGGGGCAGTGGCGGTCCCACCCAGCGGCTCCGCCGGGCACGGTGGTTTCCACGCGGAGGCATGCCTGTCCCTGTGAGCCTCCCTCACCGTGCTGGGGGGAACGGCAGCTTGTTTCAAGGAAAGCCGTCCGCGTGCAGGTGCCTGGGAACGGTGCAGTCCCGGGCGGGGACTTCGACGCAGCCACCTCCGGGGAAGCGAGGGCTCCTGAGTCACCCGGGCGCGGGGAGGCAGGAGTTGGCCCGCTCCTCCCTCTGCTTCCGGGCTCTCCCTCGGAGACATTCCTTCGATTACCGAGGTGAACGCAGGCCCCGGAGCAGGCGGCTGTCAGGGCTCCAGCCGGAGCCGCACTGGCCGGGGGCGCGGGGAGGAGCGCGTGGGCCCTGGGAGGGGACCGGAGGAGCCCCGGGCAGGGTGGCGCTGGGCTCGGGTGTGACCTGCCCTTCAGAGCCTGGCACGGCCGACCTGCGGCTCCAGACGCGCCCCCGCCCCCGCCCCCCCCCCAACGCCTTCCCTGGAGGGGAGGGGAGCGAGCACCTGACTTCCCCAGGAACCTCAGGCCTCAGCGTCGCCCCGCACCCTCTTCTCAGATGACCGGCCCCTGCCCTGCAGGCGGAGGATTCATTTCGCCCCGGCATCTCAGCCTGGCTGAGGAGAGTCACCCGGACAGTCTACAAGACGATACCGCGAGCAGGGTTTTCAGTAGAGGCAGAGGATGAGCTAGTTGTCTGGGTGAGCCGAGGGTGACGGGGCCAGGGGGGCAGAGCGGGGCCGGCGCTGCTGGATGGCTGTGCCCGCGTCCTGGGCGGAGGCCCGCTGGTCCCGGCCCCCCCGCCCCCCGTCGGGCCCTCGGAGAGGAGGTGGGAGAGAGCCGTGTGGACGGAGGTGAGGGGCCCCTGTTCCCAAGCGTGGGGCACGGGGCAGCACCCCGAGAACACGCCCCCTCAGGCGAGGGAGCTGAGTTCCTTAGGACGCCGGCGGGGTTTCCAGAGTGGCTCTGCCGGTGGTTTTCTGGTCGGGCTGGCAGGGGCTCACAACCACGAGGACTGACGGTCCCCCTGCTCCGACGTCCGTCGTGGGGAGAGGGTCGGTGCGCTCCACACGGTCCTGGACCTGGGGAGGGAAGAGCAAAGGTTTTTTTTTGTTGGTTGTTTGTTGTTCTGCTTTGTTGTTCTGAGCGCATCGGTCTGCTCGGGGAGGAGGCAGTCCTGCGGCCACGTGAGGGTTGGCCGGCGGGTCCCGGGGAAAGGCCAAGGCCCGTGGCGACGACGCCTGGCCAGAGCTCCGGCCGCTCGAGGAGGGGCCTGAGCCGAGGGCCCACGGCGGGGGGCAGGCCGGCCGGGCGGCGGACACGGCGGCCCCTGGACGTTTCCGGAGGAGCGCACGGCGCCCCGTGCGTGGGGCCGGGGACACGGCGACCGACGCACGCGTGTCTGCGACCGGCCTCCGGAGCTGCGCACACCCCCGGCTGCCTTTTCCTCCCGCCGCTGCTTCCGCTCTGGGGCCGTCCTGTGTTCTGAACTGTGTCCTGTGTCTGTCCGTCCGCTGTTCGGGGGTCACGGCCCCTTCTCCGGAGCCATGTGTCCAGTGGGCGGAGCCACAGGTCGTGGGGAGCAGGCTGGGTGCGGGGGGGGGGGGCTCTGGGGTGGGGGGCACAGGGTGACCCGGAGGCACTTGCACCCGTCGGCGGGCCCTGTCCGGTGCCCGGGGGGGCAGGCCCCACACGGATGAAGGACAGCCGGCCCGGCAGACGCAAAGAGGGGCTTCCCGCCCACGCCCCGCGCCTGGGAGCACAGCCCCCAGTGCTGCAGGAGGGGCAGTGGGGGAGGACTGGGGAGCCGGGTGGTCAGAGCGGCCGAGTCCTCCCGTCCGTGGAAGGAGACACGGAGGCTGCAGAGCGGGCGGCCGCTGGCCCCAGGCCTCCTGCGCCGTCGCCGGCGGGATGGGGATGGGGTGGGGAGCGGTGGTCGGCGGCCTGCGTCTCCCGGCCGCTTCGAGGAGGCTGTGCGGACGGCAGGCACCGGGGAAGGTGTGGTTTCCAAAGCCCATTTGCTGATCAGACTCACTGGGAAGCTGGCTGCTTGCCTCGCGGAGAGCTGGAAAGGATCCCTATTGCATCTCACAGGAGGCTCGGGCGATGGAGACCTCCCCGGGCGTCTGTTCCAGGACCGACAGTCGGCCGCACTCCTCACTCCCAGCCCCTGGGGCTGCCAGGAGGGCTTTTTGGAGCGGCGGGCGAGGCCGCCCCCCGCGCCCCGGAGCGAGCCCCGGTGTCTGCACTGCGCTGGATCGATGGCCGAGTGTCTCTGCTGCGGGCCTCCGGTCTCCTCTCTGCAGCAGCAGGCTGGGTGCCCCCCATGCCGGGCGGGCTCCCGGGGGGGCAAGATGTGCGGGTAGCGAGCTCACCCGGCTGTCCGGTGGCTGCCGGCTGCTGCCCACCACAGGCCGCCTGGTGCTCCTCGCCGGCCACCCCCGCCGGGCCTGCCCGTCCCAGCCGAGTGGCTCTGTCTTCGGAGTGGGACCGCGCTCTCCCAAGCCGTCTGGAACCCACCTGACCCTCCCAGCCCTGGTTCCTCCGAGGCCATCTCGGGCCCCGGACTCGGCGGCGTCCACCCGTCCAGCCCTGGGCGCCCTCCCTCGGGTGCTGGCCTGGGCTCGGCTGGCATCACCTTGTCTCTGCATCCGCTCTGGACGCAACTGCGCGTGGATGGGCTTGTCTGTGGGGTTCGACCCACTTTTAAAGTTTGGGGACACAGAGGGAAAAGTTTGGGGAAACTTCTGTCAAGTTCATTTAATGAGCTTTCTCCAAATAGACTTTAAAGCCTTTTAAAGGGTGCAGTTTGAAGGCATGGAGACGAGACCCCCCCCCGCACGTGCTCACGTGGGGGCCAAGGGAGGAAGCCCTTGCCACTGGGCAAGGAGCTTAGAGCGCGCCGGTGCACCCCCCCCACGCCGCGCCGGCCCCAGGACCCTGACCCCCGGGCCGGCCCCAGTGAGCGTGTGTTGCTGCGAGACGGGTAAAAATAGTGACCCGCTTATGAATTGAAACGCTTTGTGGTTCGTCATGTGCTATTTTAAGGACTTACAAAGACGGCAGCTGTGCCCCGGTTGAGAAATGTTCTTGGCCTTTCGGATTTAAAAAAACTCGCCCGAGCGTTTTTTTACCGAACAGACGTTTCTCACACACCTTGCGGGAGGGCCCGGGAGAGCGCAGGAACTCGGGGCGGCAGCTGGTCGCCCGCCGGGGCGGGCGGGGGGAAGGCCTGGGTGGTGCCGGAGCGGAGGGGGGCAGCGTGTCCGGGGAGCCCCAGCCTCGTGTCTCGGGGCGACCCCTGTGAGGCGTTCGCGTTTCTGAGGACTTGACGATGCTCCGTGGCCTCAAGTCTGTAACTGCTTCTGCCGATGTTTTCCATTGTTAAGTTAGAGAACGAGGCCCGCTCGAGATAAGAACCTGCCAACGGCCAGTGCTCCCCCCCCCACCCCCGCCCCGCTCCCGCCCGGTGCACCACCAGAAAGAGGCCAGTGGTGGGGGCAGGGCCCTCCTGGCCCGTCTCTCTGCACAGGCCTCGTTGGGCCTTCAGGAGAAGCTTAGCATTTTGCTGCCTGTTTTGTTTCTTGCTTCCCTCTGTCCCGTGCGCTGGGCATTCTTCTGTGCCATCACGTGCGTTCACCTGTGCTCACAACCGGAACTTCTGGCCAAGGTGGGGGCGCAGGCACGCACGGGGTGCGCACCCTCCCACAAGCACGTCAGAATCACAGCGGGACCGCAGCACGACTGTCGTTCGGAGCCGCCTGAAGTCCCAGCGGAAAAGCCCAGCCACCGCGGAGTTGAAGAGGAAGCCAGCCGCCCAGAAGCTGGTGCGGGGGTGGGGGGGGCGGAGATGCGGAGAACGGGCCACTGG